GGATAGTGGCGCCACTCCCTTAATTGAAGCGGCAAAGACTGGTTCCAACGATATTGTTCTAGTGAGTATTTATTCTTGTTTCTCCTGTATCCTTGCATCCTAGAGATCTTCAATGGTTTTCTTTTTTTCACATATTATACCTACTATTGTGCTAAAATAAAGAAATTTTTTAGCTAATCTAAAGCAAGTAACGAATATATATATAGTCGCGCTTTTATTAACTTACTTCTACTATGCACATAAGTAATATGTGATCAGCAAAAACTGGTTCTTATGTGTCGGGAACCTTTTTGGTTTGTATTTTACTATCTAGCTACATACTTTTTAAAATTTATCTGTGTCTAGATTAAAAATTATCTGACCTTCAAGAGTTTCTTTAAATATTTTTATAGAGCCAACTACATTTTACCCATTTGCGATTTTTATTCTCCAAAAAATACCTTAAGAGAAAATATTTAGCCTTTTATTACTTTGTCTTTTCCGCCCTGTATATTCTCATTAGTTGTGAAGATCTAATGACTTTTACATACGAAAGATTTATCATTGTATCGATTGACAAGAATCCATTTTAGTTTCCCAAAATAGCATCAAAGTAATTTGACTCGCCCTCATTACTTTGGACTTGACTACTGCAAATCGGCCTCACTATTAATTTAGCAAATTCTAGCTTTAATGATTGGTTTAACTGACCAATTAGCATTACCAATCTTGAGCCTCAACTGATAAAATCTGAATAATTAAAGAATGAATGAATTCAGTAGCTCCTTGTCTATATATCATTTAGATAAACTGTATTCAAAAGTCCGATTCCTCTGATATCACGAATATTTTTAAAGTAAATCCTTAAAAAAGTCATCTTTGATATTCTTAATGCATCAAAGCCTCGTTGGCTTATCCCAATGGATAAATAACTGCATACTTAGTGGCGCAGGAAATATTCGCATGGTGTTTTAATCAATTTAATAATAGCAATACTGGTGTGCACCTACGAAAGCCTTTTTTAGGATTATGTGTGTTTATAAGTATAGCATAATTTTTTGTTTGTCTTTATCTTTATTGAGCACGAATATGCCTTGAATCTTTATTCCATCATTTCCTTCGCTTTCAAAATATGTTTGTACTAACCTGAATTTTCTGCTAGGAATCTATGGTCTCACCATTATAAATTCTTTCTAAGCATTTTTGTAAAGCCCTAGGCATAACTATCTATTACTCTCAGTCCCATAGACTTAATGCCCTTATATGCTACATGGCTTTGGTTTCTGCAGTTCAATAGATATTGATTATCATTAACAATTCTCTATGCAAGTGTAAAATGTTTTCATGCAGAAATTTAGTATTGCACAATGCTTCATATCCTTATTAAACTTATTTTTTTCTTTGAAACCTGGCCTCTCATTTCACTTTAGGCTTATTTTATTCTACTGCTCACTATTCGCCTATTGATTGGCCTTTTTCCCAGGTTCATTGATTTTTCCAGTCACTTTTAGCCATTCACTTGGATACAGGCTTTTCTATCCAGTTTGTCTCCATGCTTTCAATCGTTTGCCTGCTCTATCATGCAACCTAAATAGTCTATCAACCTGGCCCTCTGCCGCAGCTAGACAGCCCGGCATCTGCGCTTCCAGCTCTTGTCTGAATATCCGACCTGTTTATCATCGAATTAACAATTCTTTATGCTTTTATTTTTGATCCATTCTTGAGAAAACTGCTTGTTAGGTATTCTCATTTATCTAATTCTCAATTTTTTGCCAACGCACAGTCTTTTACTATTAAGCATTATGATGTGCAGAGAACTATCATCAGCTCTGGTCAGTGCAAGCCACGATTTATTATTTATTTTTAGTTTGTATGTAGGCTTTTGAGGTTCATTATTTGTTGACCCTTAGCAATATCAATCTTCTAAATATCGCCAAAAATAAATCACCGTCTAGAGGGATCATTTTAGCATGCTTTCACATGTTATTTCGACTAATGGAACAATATCAGTGTTTGTCACTTGTCTTGTCATATTTCTTAGCGCTAATATTACTTTATGACTTATGTTCACCCTATTTCGTTTAAGATGATGAAGGACTGGTAGTTGAATTTTCCAACAATTATATAAGTAGAGCTGACGTTTCCGGTGAATTTCACAAAGGTGGACTGCAGCTTCAACCTTGTATAAGTCTTATCAGCATCCCCAGCGGGAGTCGAACCATGACAGTTCAGTGATAAGACTTATGGTAGAAGGACGAATAACAATATGGCAGACTCTGATCAACACTCCCAACACAAGGGTGAAGGGGCGTGAGAACGCCAGCGTGGAGTGTAGAGGGTTCTCATGAAAGCCGCTTTAAAGGGCACACTACACTAGATTTAAATAAGCAATGAAAAAATTGTAATATTCAAGGCGTGATACGAGGATATATGAAATGTGAATAGCCCAGGGCAGAAGGAGAGTTATCACAACTGTTTAGCACACGTTTGGTCAGAGGATCGACTTCACTTGCCTCTGACGAATTGTAGTATGGTGCTAAGGGTCGCAAAACTCACTGACGATAACGACTACGATGCTAGTGAAACGTCTGGGAGTGTACTACATCCACGTTCCGCCACTGGAAATTATCATACATACAATGGACTCCGGACTAGATGCGTTCCTGTAAATCTTCCTACCAATATGACCAAGTTGCGAAAACAATGTCAAACAACTTCTGTATTTTGCATAGTTTAGTTTTAAGATAGCCAAATTCTAATTACAAAAGTGATGGTTCACAAAACCAATATTCTTTCCAGTTCACCACATGGATTATGAGTGCGAGCTATGAAGGTAGTAAAACAAAGTCCCCTGATCAGTCTCGTTGTAATTGTCTCACATGAATATTGAGACTGACAGATTGCGTTAGCAACCTTGTTGCACATATTTGCTGAATCATTGGATTAGTACGAAGCCGAATGCGAGGACAGAGGCCAAGGTGGCCTAACCATATGACCATGCAGACTCTTACTTAATCATTTATCAGTGTGCCAACGCCCATGACATATACATGTAAATTTTAGGTCTGATCTAGAAGAGATGAGCATAGTGTAAAACAGCTGAAAAGAATTTTCATGCGATCTGTTGGTATCACATAAGCTGGTACTTTATCTGACTAAATATTATGCACGAAGCTAAAGATGTATTAATTTTAACATCATCTCACGCTACGCAGATATCCATGAAGCGTTTATGACGTTTACCTGATTTTCTGACGTCTCTCGACTTCACTGTTTGACTAACTTCGAATTCTCTAAACAACAATGCCCTTTCCAGATCTCATCTTCAAGCGGCCATTCCAGCAGACAATGAACTGTTCTCCCTTGGATCCCCTATAGCTGGAGTCGTCAATGTAAGCTAAACACATGAGAATCATCATGTTCAGTGGATATTGAGGCAAAATCTAACAGCTAATGATCAAGAGGGTGTCGAAATTGTTGGGGTGCATTTCAGTGTGTTTTGGGATGCTTAGGTAAAACTAACCATATTAGCTTATATGTCAGAAGGCCACTATAAACATACGGTCGGTTAGCATAGCCTCTCTGGCTTCTTTCTCTGGCTTCAAACTATCTTTGTAGCTCAATCTATTCGCTGCCCAGTCTGCTCCGCTTCCTTCCTCTCCTCTTGCCCACTTCTCTGTATTGTTTCCCCACCTCAGTGCTGTCGCCTCATCGGCACACATGGCCCAAACGTCAAACTCCCCTGCCAGGCCAGGTGTGCCTTCGTTACTCAGGCGAGCGCTATTTGTCAGAGTCTTTTGACTGGTAGACTGGCTATTCAGTCCTGTCTAGACATTGTTGATGTTTAGACACCGCCATCACCTTATGACCTGACTGTATGCGTGATGGCAACAGGGTCAGAAAGAATGCAAGCTTGGCTTCGCCACGCAAGTATAATAATTCAATCTAGCATTCCTCAACTTGTCGCATGATGTGCATGCGTGTTGTATGTGTTTGTATGTGTGTGCATGCCTATATCTGTATGTTTGTACGCATATATGTATACATGAGTCCAGGGCATAAACTTAGGCTGAGCCTGGTTATTTTAGATTCTAGCCCACATTGGTGACGCGGCGTCTCCAAAGCTCAGTCAGCCGGGCGCAAAATGACTAAAGGATCCCTTTCGTATCACCACACTAGACGCAGCTCCTCTCACCTGAGCGAGAATGTCACTAGCCG